ATTATGCAGAATAAACTTTCCAGTGATACAGGAATGTTTACTTTGGTTTAAATGGATCTTTAAGAAAACAACTGCTTCTTGGTTGGGTTAACAACACAATTAACCAAAGGTGAGGAAAAGCTAGGGACACAGTTTCTTTGATTTATCTGTTACAATTAGGCCGTTTGGGATTAGTCAACTGTATAGAGGTTATGTTAGAAAAGTCTTCACATCACACTTGGTACACAAAGTTTTTCATAACATCTACAAGAAATAAATACTGGTAAAGCTCTTATTGTATTTGCACTGGGTTTATTCAGCTTTTCTGGATGCTTAAACTGCTGTAAATCACTGAAGTTTTAATTATTTATAGAATAAATATTCATAATACAAAAATGCAAGTAATAAAATTGAAATAATTGCAATTAAACAAAAAAAAAAAGATGAAGATTTCCTTTTAAAGCACATGTGTGAGACAATGAGATCTAGGGTAAGCCAGGTATTTTTCATCATGTATTGAAGTCTTGTAGTCAGTTGAGAGCAACTATTGCTCTGAAACCTGCAGATGCCTTGATCTGAGAATATCATCACTAATGTCAACATGACATCAGGTCGGACAGAGATGTTACCAGCATGCATTGTGCTGTGATCGCAGATAACTGATTCTGTGTAGGTCTGGCTCATAACAAACAAACCTGTTGTCTCTATTTTTCTCTTTAATCCGTGCATCATAATACATTTGTTTCCAAGAAACTTCATCTCTTGCATTGTTAGGAGAAATACAATACCTGTTAAACAGAGTTTTGGTTTAAATTGATTGCACGTTTGCACCTGAATTACTTTTTGATTTCAATTGTATTTTTTTTTCATTCATACCTGAGCTTTCTGTTTTTTGTTAGTATGGTCAGTTATATTTTTGTATGCTGTGGGCATATAGGTGTGAAGTAAACTGGTGAACTGTTTCTTGGTTGGTTTAAAAAAAAAAAACACAACAAAACAAAACAAAAAATTAAAAAGCTCAAAAAGAAAACAATATATATAATTTATGTTGTCCTGCCATAAAGGGTACAACATGACTGGGAGGTAGATGTCAGTCAGGCACAGTTTGTGCTCTTCCTACAAAGCTATGAGCTCTAATCAGCCAAAACAAGTAAATAAAAAACCTGTATGGGTGTGTCACAGGAGTGTAAAGACTTTAAAGATGCACCCTTTGTTGTCTGATGCAGCCCACTCTCATGGAAAGGTGTGAAATGGCAACCTGTTCCCCTCCCAAGTATACCACTGCTTTGACATTGGACCAAAACATCAAAATATGATGCCCCCTGCTTTGGTCTTGGACATCAAGTTTTTGAGTGTATTTCCGTAGCTTTAGGCAATAAAAGCACATGGTTAGGTTGAGAAAAAAATCATGGTTTGTCTTTAAATAAGTACAGTAGTTACTAATGTAATGTCATGTCACGTGACATATGTTACTAGTGGTGTATGCTACACATACTAGCACACTATATTGTTGCTATGTTGTTACAAAACATATAGTAAGCTCCTGGGTGAAAGTCCAGTGATTGTTTGACCCATCCACCTCCCCTCCCATCCCTCTCATGCTCACTGTCTCACTCTTTATACCACAGTAGTTGCAAGTGTCATCAGAAATAGCAGCTGCCCTGAGCATTTGTGCATAAGTATTTGACAAGTTTGGTTGTGGCCAATGTTGTCAGAAATAGCTGCCACCCGAGCCCATTCTCACTGAAGTTGTTGAAATCTGGTGCTTGGGCAGTGATTTGCGGCATCAGAAACCAACGAAAAAAGGTGTTCCTCTGGTTGCCTTTATAGTTTAAGGGCACCCAGCGGTGTCAGGGGAAAACGTGGCAGGACGAGGACGAAAGTTAAGGCGGCAAAAGTCCGACTGGGGCTGGTGGGAGTGGTGGTGGATGGGTCCAATAAACATCTACTACGGAAGTGTATTTTGAAAGAGGACAATGCATGTAACAGGCAGAACTTGACACAGTGTCTCAGAACGTCACCAACAAACGCACCCAGGGTACACTGCATGTCATATGTGGACATAGAAAGTCCATGACCAAATGTCAATATGTGACGAGGTCAGAGTGAGAATGTGTTGGCCACCCGGTGCATGTCATGAAGAGTGCCTCTGTATGGTGGTATTTAATGCCGAAATCATTAACAACGCAGCCTTATTTGACAGGTTGTGACTGAGAACTGTCTTCAAAGGGATATTGACATGGTGGTGGGCATGAAATGCGTTAAAATTAGGTGCTGAAAACAAGAAAACCATGTCACTGCAAAGTCAGTGAGGGTCTTCTGCCATGGTGGACACATGAATTAAGTATAAAAAGGCGAAGAAGTCTGCATAGGGTGGGTGGGAGACGTGGTGGGGTCAAAGAAGACCACTGTTTGTGTCCCAAGTCAAACCAAAAGTCAACATAGTTACAAGACTTGACAGACTTTACCTTACTACATAAAAATACATAGGTTTACGTCACTTACATCCCATGGATAGTTATTTTAAATAAAATGACAATCTTCTCTTTTTTGTTCTCTAAACCTAACAAAGTGTTTTTTCCCTTTCCCTAAATGAAACCATTTCAACCAACCATGCTAGTGACATATTTTAGCAACATGTTTGAAATTGTGACCACTCACAATAGATTTTGCTTTGCCATTTTTTTGTGTTGCCAGCACATGATTTCAACACATTTTGTGCCCACCACTATATAAAGTGTTGTTAAAAGATTGTGTCAGTTCCATGTATTAGCAGTAGCACAATCCATAGGGACTTGGGTTGGGAACCGGAGGGTAGTCTGTCCAAGTCCCCATCCAGACCAAAATATGGTGCGTGGACTGGTAGCTGGAGAGGTGCCAGTTCACCTCCTGGGCACTGCCAAGGTGCCCTTAAGCAAGGCACCGAACCCCCCAGCCGCTCGGAGCGCCTGTCGTGGGCAGCCCACTCTGACTCTTTCTTTTTTGTTTTCTGTTTTGGTTCTTTGCTGTTTTTAACCTGTGAGGCACTTTGTGTTACTGTTATATGAAAAATGCCATTTAAATAAAGTTGATTTGATTTGATTTGACATCTCTCAACAGTGTGAAAAAATTTAATTTCCCCTCTGGGATTAATAAAGTATATAAAAAATTTTAAAATTATTTCTGTGATACTGACACATACTAACCTTTCTTTCATCCTTTAAAATGTGATCTTCAATGAACAAAATTATTTAAAAAAACAGGATACCGTTTTTGTCGTTGGTTCAAATGTAAAAGAAAACAATAACTTTTTATTAATAAAAAAAGAAGAAAATAAAAAACACTCTAGGTCTTAAATTACATATCAGCTGAGCAAGGGCACTAAGTATTGGTATTGTTGTCATGTCACTGAGTCACTTTTTACCAGCTTCTCTTTTAAGACTTGCCGCCCATTTTCATTCAAGCACCAGATCAACTTCAATCACTCAAGGCTGAACAGACCTGATTTTTAACTGCATCAATTATATGTACTCAGTTTTATTTCTGGAGCTTATCCTGTGGGTCAGATCCTATTCATTGAAACCTAATGTGGTGAAGATGTTTGTTTTATTTTTATGCAGTTTTTTGATGGCAAACCACTGCTCTGTAGTGTGTACCAGTATATTTTTTAAAAGAGGTTTCCAACAGTTGTTAAAGGACTCCATCACATGTGTTGTACAAGTGCAAAGCCTTGCTGAATATATTGATGAATACATTTTAACCGCACTTATTTTGAAGTATTACCAAGACCATTGCAAACAAGCCCATCATTCATAAGACTGGGTATTGACCATTAACTGTCACACAATTGACTGAAGGGGATGGACAATCATCACAAAATAGAAGCAATTTTTACTCAATCAAACTTTTTACTTAAGTTTTTGTTGTTGTTCTTTCAGTTTGTACTATTGTGGATGCAAAGTTTCTGCTTCACATTAGCTTTCCTGGACTGAATGCATATTGGCTGTAACTGTCTCTCATTTTGCACTCGAAAACAAACAGCAGGGAAGCAGAGTGGTTGCAACATCCTCTTTTCAACAGGAAGCAGCGGGGTTTATGGCAAACAGCACAGGTAATAGTGAATTATCAACTTGTTACAACCACAGCTGTCAACTTTACGATAGATGTCCTCCACTGTTACTCGCTATGAATAAGATTGGAAACCAAATAGCTTGCAATGTCTGAATGTAATGGCAGGAAAATAGAAAAACAGAGCATGGTTGGATCTCCAAATTGGAACTGGAAATGTGGAAACAGTCTGTTCTAAACTCAATGGTTTATTACTGGTTTTGAGGGATTTTCATTAAAAGGACCTCAGCAGTGGTTGTTAAGGTTTAGTTCTTTATCTTACAACATATAATTTAATACCTGAACATTTTCCAAAGCTTTTAAAATAGCTTGTGTGTTTGAGGAAGCCATTGGTTTTTGATTTTAATGTTTTGAAAATCACTTTGCACATACTTGATTAGTGTTTGAGACAGACTGCATTATGTATGAAGGAAAACCTAAAAAAAAAAAAAAGTATGTTTTCTTTAGTGTATAATCACATGAGCTGTCTATGTAGGGAGCAGGTCCTCATCTACATATTGCCATTTTGCACAGCCATGCTTGCATAGTAGCACAGAACAGACAAATCAAACACTGGATCTAGATAGGGCCACTCCTGTTCTTACTGGGGACCAGTTAGCAGCCCCTCCATGACAAGCAGCATCGAAAAAACATGAAACTGCTTTATGCAGTGTTTTACCTGTTTAAACACTGGGTCTATTTGTTTTGGAGAAGAGGACACGTCTGCAGATAATGTGGCTCCTGGTAAAAACCTTAAGCCTTTAGAGAGAGAGAGAAAAAAAAAAAAAGATTAGCACAGATTAGCAGGTGCTAGGTTAGTGGCCCGTGGCTGTCACGCCAAACTACGCCCAAGAAACATGGATCTGTAACCTGAAACTGCTTTATTCCGTGCTTTTACCTGTTTCAGTCACTTGGTGCATTCGTTTTGATGAGGAGGAGACCTCTGCAGACAATACACCTCATGGTAGGAACCTCCTGAACGTCTGGATCAGACATATGGTGAGCACACATTAAGTTTGCAGATGCCGGGCAAGCAGGCCGACTGTGACATGCCAAACACGGTAGGAGAAAATACTGATTTATAATGTGAAACTGCTTTATTTAGTGGTTTTACCAGTTTGGCTCCCAGTAAAATCTTCCTGAACAATGAAGGAATTCTAACCAGGAGAAGTTTCAGTTGGTTGCAATCTGCAATCCGCACTGCTAGATTCCACTAAACCGCCTAAATCTTAAGTGCAACACACACCGCCGCCGGCGCGGCGCTGTGGCCGTCAAGGGCCGCCCCCCAACACACACTGGCAGCGGCGCACAGCCAACATGTGTTTCCCACCCCAGGTGGCTGTACCTTTACTAATTGCCAACGGTTGCCAACTGCTAGTAACAGAAGAAGAAGAGGAAAAACTTTGAGGCAACAACAACTTGAATTTCACGGGTGAGTTTCTTATCAAAGTCGTCTTATTAAAAATTTGAAACAACCGGAGTTGATCCTACGAGACGAGACGTACATAAAAGGCTTTTCTCGCAGCACCGCCATGAGCAGTGTGGGTTGGTTCATAGAATATAATGGAGGCGGGCGTTTTGACGCGTGGCGTACGGCGGCGGTGTGTGTTGCACTTAACACACTGGACCTGTAAAAATAGTATGAAATCATAGAAAGGTTTTTGCTATAATTCCACAGGACTTTTTGTTTCATATTTCATAGATAAAGTTATTAAATGGCTGTCTAAATTTTTTGCTGTGTCATTACTGATGGGTCAGGTTTGCTGTGGTAATAACAATTAAGATCTCCAAAGCCTGAAAGAGGTTTGTGCTATCAAAACAAATTAATCCCAATTAACCAGCATACAGTTGCAAAATTGATTACAGCAATTAAAGGAAACCACCACAAACAGTGAAATTGGAGGCAAATCACAAGGCATATTACTCCTCTTAGACTGTTGTAAGTTTTTATGTTCCGTGCAATATAGAATATTTTTCCTCCCGCTGTACTTTCAGTGGCAAAGTTGCAAAAAGCAAAATTACATCTAAAAAGGTGTTTTCAGTCATTGCCAGTCCAATCAGCTCCCTCAATTACACTCAGTGGAGCCATGGATCCGTGATTATTAAGATGGAGCTCACACGAACTGTTCTAAGGCTGGCTTTGCCCCAGCAGGAGCTATCATTAACATGGACTCCAGCTCGGAGCCTCGAGCCTTTAACTGTCCTTAAACTGCCCATGCAAAAGTGGGAAATTAGCAAATGTCAATCATTGGCTGACACTGCTATCAAGCAGGAGTCAGCTGGAGTCTGAAAGGGCCTGAGGGGGTGGTGGTGGCAGAGTGGGTTGACGTTTCCTTTACATCGTCACTCTCTGAATATCAACTCATCATATTATGTTCAGCCTCCTCACTGAGCTGAATTCTTGCCCACGGTGCTTCACAGCAAGTCGTCTTCTCCTCTGTCACCTTGTTTGCTCACAATGACAGCGACTGGGAATCATGTAGGTGTGGAAATTAGAGTGCGGCACACTACAACCATCTGTGGCAACTTTATCTTGCAAGATTTCAAACATGTCACGTTTTTTCTGTTCTTTATTATGCGGATGATATAGTTAGGACACAAAGACAAATGATCTGAACTGACATTTGATTCGCTCAGATAACTTTTTACCAATGTTGTGTGGTAGATTAATTTTCATGTTCTCCATTAGTTGACACAAAGAGATTTTACTTTAAACTGTTTCTAGCCAATGCTAAATGGCTATAATTTCAGACCACATTAGATTTGTTATTTTTGTCAATTTATTTCCAACTTCCACTTTATAATGGCTCTGGTTGTAGTTTTGATATTTAATAATCTTTATTGTATGTACAACAGTGTGTCATGGGGCAAGCAAGTAAAGACTATGGAACGTGGATGTTGATTTTTGGTCATGAATTTGTGGCACAGATCGAAATGAGGGTGGGGAATGAAAAAAAATAAGCGTGTGTTAAGAGTTTGAATTCCTGGCTGCTCAAATCACTCATTTTTGTTTCTTTCACTGTCAAAGCTGTGCACAAAAACTTTTTTTATAATGCGAGACAGACCCAGCAGCAGACATAAATCCATTGGCAAGGCTTTTATTTTTTCATAAGCGGGCCCAGTGTAAACATTATAGTCGACACATGATGTGAGTGTATTCATTAGGCTGGTTATACAATTACAAGCACATCCTCTCCTATCTATACGTAGCTTATGCATGGCGTCCAAAGTCACAGGCTGTGTTTCTTCTCCTGGGCAACAGCCCAGGTAGGCTGAATTTTCACTGATATGAAAACAACACTGAAGTCATTGACAGTTAATATATTTAGCAGGTTTGTGAGCTGCAGCCTAGGAAATTGAACACAGCTATTTTTCTGGAGTTCTGCCAAGATGTGGACGTGATTTCGAACCAGCAGAGCGATACAACTGACATGACATAAACACTGGGGGCTTAGCCTGGACCTCTGTATCCTCCCTCAGGATTTGCTGCTTTTTTAATGCACTCTGGCACTTTATTTACGTTCAAAGTAGGCTGATGTGTCTTGATCATTGAAACATTCAAATATGTACCTCAAAAACTGTTGTTTCCATTCCGGATAAATTAGTGATAGTGATATAAAAAATAAGTATGCTCTGCCATTTCTCCTTTACCGTAACATGGGTCACTCAGGGCTGACCATCAGACCCCCCCAACACACACACACACACACACCAACCACTTTTCGAAAGTGTAACACTTTGAAAAAGTCCTTTTGTGGGATTTATTTGAATTACCTCACTATTATACAGTATATACACAGACTCACATAGACTCACACAGAATCACACAGTGAACATGGTCCAGTCAGCTTTCTGTGTCTCTGGATCATCAGGACACAGCTGATCCTCTCAACACATCCACCATCCTGTTTATCAAACTGCAGTTTCCTTCCATCTGATGAGAGAAGAAGACAAGAGAGGTTATAAATCAGCTGTCCGTCAGTAATGCAGCACATACAGTACAGTAACTCTGCAGAAACAGAGTTATTCACTTTAATGATGGATTTACTGAGTCTGTTATAACAGTTGACTAATAAACAGATATATAATGTTAAATTTTCTATAAGTTCATCCAAAGACTGAACTGCAACACATCAGCTGTGATTACTGGACTTCAGCAGAAGTTCTGCTCTGTATGAAGAACACATGGTTACCAACTGTAATGATAGTTCAATAAAATAAGAGTCAGCAATTTGTAAGCTTCAGTCAGACTGATCTCAGAGCTGTGACAAAGATAAGGACAACAAACACTTTAAAGAGGACATATTATGCTCATTAACAGGTTCTTATTTGCATTCTGGGTTTCTACTAGAACCTGTTTACATGCTTTAATGTTCAAACTAGAGTTATCGCCTTATAGTTGTATGCCTCACCAACCAGTCAAGTTACAGTTACAATTTACATCCATGTCTGTCAAGACTCATATGTAGCCTTGACAGTTGGCAATTCTTTTACTATGGATGCTGCTGTAACAAAGCTACACATTCTAAAATGTGGATGCTTCATAAACATCTTCAACCCTAACACTAACACTCAGAAAAACACAATGCCTCCTGTCATGGCTGTCGTGGGTGTGGAGGCATAATAATGCTTTGATTTCCTCCTGTTAACTGTCTGCATTGGAACGCCTGTATTTTCCCCCCTCTGTCTGAGAATGAATGACTATAACAGAGAATATCAGTACTTTCTGCTGTGAAAAATCACCAATAATAGCTTCTAAACAAAACCGGCTATGTTCCAGCATGAATATGATCTGACTTTGGGGAGAAACTTACAACATCGCCAACCAAGATTACATGTTTCCCTGAAGTTAGCATGTAGCTACATGTAGCAGTGAAGGTCATGTAATGTTAACACTTAACGTGCCAGGAGCAGTTGACCATATAAAGACATCTTAGCTTAAGTAGAAAAAGCCATCAAACACAGAGTATTCAGAGCATGCTGAAGTCCGAGGTTTTTGTTCACAGGGACTTTGGCCACATTTAATAAGAATGTCCTTCATTGTAACATTATAGGCTAAATAAAACACACAAAAAAACAGAATATCATAACCAATTATCAAGGTCAGATTTGATGGTATGACAGTTAGATGAAAGAGGACAGCTGTCTCTATACATGTGATGATGTCAACAGTCATCTTCAGATCAACTTAAACTCACGATAACAACAAGTTTCTTGCTGATCTAATTGGCTGACTGTTCTCTCTGTTTCTCTATCCTCACCAGAAGATTGTCCCCATTACCCTCTTTTAGCCACTCAGAAGGTCTGAGGTTTACAGGAAATACTGGATCTTTGCTCTGATACTAACTGTGTTAAATGTAATACTGCTGAAACCAGCATGGACTGACTTCAACCCTCTACTTACTCCAGAGTCTCCAGTCTACAGTGTGGACTCTTCACAAGATCAGACAGCAGCTTCACGTCTGAATCCTGCAGGTTGTTGAACCTCAGCTCCAGCTCTCTCAGATGGGAGGGGTTGGACTTCAGAGCTAAGGCCAGAGAGACACAGCTAATCTTTGTCAAACCGAAGTCACTCAATCTGAAATAAAGAATAAATTATGTCACTTTAGAAGACAGTGTTCCTGCTTTAAAGGATAACTTCAGTTTTTTTATCAACCTGGGCCCTATTTCCCCATGTGTATGTTTGTGTATGATTCATAGGTACAACTTGTTCTAAATTTGGTTCAGTATTGAGGGAGGCGGATGCAGCCGGGAGCCGCGAAACGAGCTAAAACGGTAACGGGGGCAAATGCGTCCCGTAAGTTTACGCATTAAAAGTGCTTTTTTTCGCCACTGACCGGTTCAGATCGCCAGTGTTATCTCTGTAAATAGCATACTAAGTGTTTCCCTTACCTCTGGGCTGTGTGATGTCACGAGCTTTGCTCCACTGTGTCTGTAGCTCTCTCTACTCGTGGGACAGCCGTTTTCTTGAGGAAGAGATGTTTCGGGATTGGATGTCTTCTCTTCTTCAGCTGGCAGTAGTCATCTTGGGAGAAGTGAGCACTGCAGACCCGATGGTCTGCAAGGCGCAGTGTCTGGACAGGAGTGTTAGGATCCATTTGTAGCACAACTAGCCACAACTTCAGCATCTCGCCGTCTGACAAAGGCAGCCAGCAATGAACGCTGTATGGGGTGTTGTGCGACATCCTGTTCTTGCGTTCGGGAAAAAGGCCCGTTTATTTGAGCACTCCAAAAACTCCAGTAACACTCCAGGGGGTAGCACGTAAAAGACGTCCCAAACTCTGACTCTTCTAGCGTAACACACACACTTCATACATACATACTCACTTACAGTACCCAGCGGGGCAGCCCTCCCCCTCTCTGCTCCAACACTGACTGACAGCTGACTCCACTCATACCACACTCACACTACAATATGCTATTTACAGAGATAACACTGGCAATCTAAACCGGTCAGTGGTGAAAAAAAGCACTTTTAATGCGCAAACTTATAAGGAACGCATTTGCCCACGTTACCGTTTTAGCTCGTTTCGCGCCTCAATACGGAACCAATTTTAGAATGAGTTGTACCCATGAATCATATGCACACATACACATGGGGAAATAGGGCCCAGGTTGAAAAATACCGAAGTTATCCTTTAAATCCTTCAATGTTTAATAGTCTGTTCAGAGCTAAGGAAGACTTAGAATGTACAAGTTTAGAGAATAGAAACTTAAAACTCAACAGGATGCAGGTTAAAAACAGCAACATACAAAAAGTGAAAAAGAGCTCTCATAAATATCATTGACAACGTGCTGCTACCTCCATAAAGACATAGTGACTTCACCTAAACTCTGCCAGCTCCATCAGTGGCTTTATCAAACCAGTCAGGTTGCAGTTACAGTTGACATCTGTATCTGTGAAAGCATGGATGCTTCAAACACATCAATTCAATACCTGACCAAATGTTTCCCCCTCTATTCCTAAGATATGACGTTGAATAATGGTCAGAAAATTGTTTTTGCAGAACATGATGTTACAGTGAAGTTGACTTTTTAGATATATAATGACATCACTTTGTTTTATTCTGTTTGACATTTGTGTGATTTTTTTGTCATTATTAGTGAATTAAATTTTAAGTTATAGCCTAAAACATGTTTTGTGAGGTCACAGTGATCTTGACCCTTGACAACCACAATCCAAGTGGACGTTTGTGCCAATTTTGAGGAAATTCCTTCAAGGCCTACTTGAGATATTGCTTTCACAAGAATGGGATGGATAGAGGGGTGGACAGACAACCAGAAAACATAATGCTTCCAGCGACAGCTATAAGTGGCGTGAATATATACAATGGTGTCTGACCTCAGAGTCTCCAGTTTACAGTGTGGAGTCTCCAGAAAATCACACAGCAGCTTCACTCCTGAATCCTGCAGCTTGTTTTCACTCAGTTCCAGCTCTCTCAGATGGGAGGGGTTGGACTTCAGAGCTGAGACCAGAGAACCACAGCTGATTGCTGAGAAACTGCAGCGTCTCAGTCTAAGTAAAGAATAAATGATGTAGACAAAAATATATTAATAATAAAATCAGATTTGTTAAGGTGTTGAATGTGTAGCTTAATATTACTATGTCCTAATCAAAGAGCTTTGCCATAAACTGAGTGGAGTGATATTGTCATTGTGTTATTGTGGTGATCCCAACAGGATGCAAATAAAACTGTAAAATACAACAACAACAACAACAACAACAACAAAAAAGAGCTCTCGTGAGTATCATTGACAATGTGCTGCTAGCTCCACCAGTGACTCCATCATCACAAACTCATGTTGTGCAGCCAAACACAAATTAATTATTTACAGAATCATGCGAGTAAATTAAAGTTGAAATCAAATGTTTAAAGCAGGACTATCCAATTACAAATTCAATTGGGCTGGATTTTAAACCAGAAAATGTCAGTGGGCCAGACATTTTCAGCAGCAGGCAACGTATTAGAAATTTTTTAGCAATTGGTAATGACAAATTTCTAAACAGGTACAAATTACTCTAGTTAGAGTACTCATGTTTTGTGTCACATTTGAAACAAAAACAAACAAAAAAGAAAACCATTTAGTCATATAACTGACTGAGGAACATCACATAATGCAGAAACAATAAAAAAAGAGCTGTCAATACACAGAAGCATAACAAGTGACATTAACAGTAACTAATAACACACAGGATATAGTTTTATACAGTCCATGGCAGCAACAGTCATGTTTACAACACTAAAGTCACTTTATTAGCTCAATAATTTATCACTGGAAACAAACATGATAATAAAATAAATATTACTACTGACGTCACAATACTGAGTTATCTTATGTAAACATGAAGAACAGATATCAGTATCAGTCATTCATCCTGCTCCCTTGCCCACCTCTACTTAGGACACACACTGTCCACAGGTAGGCTGTCTCAGGTACATTTTAAGATACATGGCAAAGTAAGTTAAACAGACTACATACAGTCAGCTTGCATTTTAGTTTGTTTTTAACAATTTGGTATTGGTCCCACTTGCATGATGTGCTTGTGCAAAATGTGACTGTAAACCATAACGGCGGTAAATGAGGGACAGAGCAGACTGACACATCGCTTTCTACATGCTGAACTTGTGAACTGACAAAGTACTGGCTTTTTACTGGCACAGGTTTTTTGCACTTACTTACTTATAGTAACAAGCGTAGTTGTTGTCAACTAGAGTAATCTTGAAGTAATACTCCCTTCACCTGCACCGTGGCTTCTCTGCTGTTGTCTGACCTTACTCTGTTGTGTTTGTGTGTGTCTGTATGTGTGTGTAGGAGGTCAGCATTCAGAATGCAGGAGAGAGTCTGCAGTGTGGTGTTACATGAAACCAAAACTTTAAAAAGTAACGATAAAAGACCCGGTAACAGTGGAGCTTTTGTCCCAGGGGGTTTAATACGTGGTCTCGATACCAATACCTAGCCGGGCCACTCGGAAGCTGCTTCTGGGCCTGATGTGGCCTGTGAGACTTAATTGTGGATCAGTATAATATCAGCCTGATGTCTGCAGTTTAATGTCCCCACAACTTTCACATCTTAAAAAATTTCAGTACAGGCATAAAAAATGGTGTCTGACCTCAGAGTCTCCAGTTTACAGCGTGAACTCTTTAGAAAATCACACAGTAGCTTCACTCCTGAATCCTGCAGGTTGTTGACACTCAGCTCCAGCTCTCTCAGATGGGAGGGGTTGGACTTCAGAGCTGAGGCCAAAGAATCACAGCTGATCGCTGACAAACTGCAATTCCACAATCTGAATAGAGAATATGTGATGTAGATAAAAATCATTAGTAATCAGGTCAGATGTGTTCAGGTGTTAAATGTGTAGTTCAACATTACTATGTCCTAATTAATAAGTGTTGGCCTAAACTGAGTAGAGTGACATTGTCATTATGTTATTGTGGTAATCCCACCAGGATGCAGGTTAAAAACTGTAAAATACAAAAAGTGACAAAAAGGACTCTCATGAATATCATTGACAATGTGCTGCCACTTCAATAAAGATGTAGTAACTTCACCTCTTAAACTTCCTGCCAGCTCCACCAGTGGCTCCATCATCACAAGCTCATGTTGTGCAACCAAACACAAATCACTTATTTAAAGAATCATGAGGGTAAATTCAAGATGAAATCAAGTGTTTAAAGGTTAGGAGTGAATTTTAAACTCATCTTTACTACATCACTTAAAGTTACTGTAAAACTTTAATTAGTAGCCTGGGCTATTATTTTCTTAAATCACTGAAATTGACGGGTCTGTGTTTAGGACAGGCGTATATAAGGGACAGGAATTTCATTTATTTCATATCAAACTGTTGCTCAGCAAAAAAAAAGGGAAACACAATTAAATAGTTTTTTTAAACTAGTATAAATGTTACTTGTATAGAAATTAGGCTTCAGATAATATATCATTTATGAATCATTTATTTGATATAGCTCTAACAGCGCGTTAGAGAGTGAGTTACAGAACTCAAGGATTACAGGACCCGGTAAACCGACACAACATCACTTTATTCTGTTAAAACAATACTCACAACTTGGATTATTTTTTTTATGAAAAAACATTTTGATTCTTTTGATCTGAGAATGGACTAAAATAATTTGAATAATTTACTGGATAATCCAGGAATGGACACATAATTTGAGGTACATCCAAAGAACTTCTATAAAAAAATGAACTGCTTGGCAACCAGACCTAAAGTCTAATTGAGACAGGTGTTTACTTGTCAAAATGTGTAGCCACACTGGGCTAGTAAGAGGTACTGGGGGTTTAACTGATACTCTGCTTTTAACGGAAGTTTTACTGTACACTATGCAGGATTGTAGGTTACTGTTTGTAAACACGTTTGCCAGCAAAAGTGAAAGTAAAAGCCAACTATACAGTATTTGCATTTTCTAGTGGTGCATCTCTTTGATGCCTGCTGCTACAGTTTGGTACCTAGTCACTACCTTTTTATAATGCCCTGACCTCACCTGAGTGCTGTGGGGGTATATGCCCAGAAACCTCCCAAACACAGAAAATAAGAAGTAAGAAAACACAGGCAGAGGGCAGAGTCTCTGCAGATTAATACACTACAACACACTGAGAGAAGATCATAAGTGCTGATTAAGAGGAATTATTTTTGTATGAGTCTATACACTGTTTTTAAGGAAGATCCTGCAGAATTTATCCTTAAGGTTTTAGCTCCACATAGCTCTGCCACAGTCAACTGATTAAACCACTGAACAAAAAAAAACAGACTTAATTGTGGATCAGTATAATATCAGCCTGATGTCTGCAATTTAATGTCCCCACAACTTTCACATCTTAATAATCTCAGTACAGGCATAAAAAATGGTGTCTGACCTCAGAGTCTCCAGTTTACAGTGTGGACTCTCCAGAAAATCACACAGCTGCTTCACTCCTGAATCCTGCAGCTTGTTTTCACTCAGCTCCAGCTCTCTCAGATGGGAAGGGTTGGACTTCAGAGCTGAGGCCAGATGAGCACAGCTGATGTCTGAAAACCTGCAGCCCCACAGTCTGAATAAAGAGTAAAATCAGGTAGATAAGAATCATTAATAATACAATCAGATGTGTTCAGGTTAGGGACGGGCGATATGGCCCTAAAATAATATCACAGTATTTCAGGATATTTTTGCAATAACTATATTCCTGACGATATGACAAATTAGTAAAAACTAATCCATACCCATTGAGTACAGCATACCATACCATGACTTAGTCATACCAAAAATTAGAAATTTTAGCCATTCTTAAGCATTTTTCTGTTGTTATAGCGCCACCCAGTTGCCAATTAGAGTTACATTCTCCAGTCACCTTAAGGCATCCTGTTCTACATATCTACCAAGTTTAGTAAGAATCGATATGGCGGTTAGGCCTAGATAAGAAATTAGTTGTCTAGCACCCCCATTTTGTTTGATGGGGTCAATAATGGAGGGGTCCCCTCAGATTATGTGTGGTCATATGCCTACAAAGTTGCGTGGTGATCGGTAAAACCCTTGAGATGTTATACACCTTTATTTGATGAGCCTCGCCCTCTGTAATATTCATTGCCTTATAGAACCTCAGTTTTAGTAAGTTTTCCAACTTTTGCCAAGAGGGAACTTTAGATATTGGTCCCTAGATTATGTTCACTGAGTTTCATGCAGATCGGTTAAAATTACCTAGGAAGAGATCGATTTTAAGTGTTCCTCATGAGGAGAGGCATCTCTGTGCAAAGTTTCATGTCTCTATGACATATGGGGCATGAGATATGCCTATTCAAAGTTTGCAATTTCAATCGGTTGCTATAGCGCCCCCCTTTGGCCAATTGATGTAATATTGCTTCATTTGCATCCTCCCATGACTCTCTACCACTATAAATCAACAGGTGATTTCCTTCTCTTTTAGCAAAATCCTAAATGACATGATCACATGGACCTTTATGCTCCGCCATTTCTCCTCTAATCATCACACTGGAACACGATAACTATTGCACATTCACATATATGTCGTTTTTTGTTGAGCTGTGAGCGTCACATAGGTTTACATTACCAAAGGTTTATGACAAAATCACTTGATGACACTGACTCCTGTGTGCACACAGCGAGAGAGGAAAGGGAGAGACGCTGTGCTGCTGCCAGAGGAGCAACTGAATAAGTTCCCTCTGAGCGGTAAGACGCTACAAGAGTCTGAGAGGTCTGAGGCGGTTCATAAAACATTAAGGACTCCCAGGCCTAGTAAAGTCACAGTTTATTCCACACTACTGGAGCTTCTCCTCTTCTTGGAACCACTGTTGAATCAGTAATACTTTCACAAAATATAAAAAAATACAAAAAATATAATTTTTTTATATGATAACAAAAATATATTGATATTATTGTGAATGACATGATTTGGCACACCCCTAGTTCAAGTGTTAAATGTGTAGCTCAACATTACTTTGTCCTGATCAATGAGCCCTAAACTGAATGGAGTGACTTTGTCATTGTGTTATGGTTGATCATCATGATGTCATCGTTCTACAGACATTATCCAAATGTCACCACAACATTCATTCATCTTTTCATGTCAACACAGACTGTTGCTGATCTTAGTCAAGTATGTATTTAGAGGATCAATATCAAATCAGACACGTTGGCCTAAAAAAACTGTTCATTAATTAGTTTCTTACATGACCTTCATACTGTATTTGTATATGGAATAAAAAGGAGAGGGACACATTTGTAAGGCTTGTTGCTTTTGGTTTATGATTTCGTTAATCACTTGCCCTCCCGGCTGGTTAAGTGGAGTGAGAAGTCAGCAGTCAGTGATGATATGAAACAGTCAATAAAACAGGTTTTTCCACAATTGTGGATCACCGCAACTGCGAGAGGTCCTTTAGCATACGTTCATACATGTGCACATAAAAGATGAGGCTGATTGGTCCAGTAGTTTGTGAGAGTAGCTGTGGACAGAGGCAGATAGACATATTCACGACCAAACACATGATCACTTCCAGGCTTATGCCTGGGGGAAATAATAACTTTTTGAATGTAGATGGGTGTGTGAGTTTTGTATGACAAAGGCCCCAAAAAATAGGAACCTGTCTTTTAAGTCAAAGATGTTTCCATTGCAGACCATTTATTTTTGTTGCAATGTAAAGGTCTGTGGTTTGCAATGACTGGTCATTGTTAATGGTAAATGGTAAATGGACCTGCGTTTTGCGATGATTAGTCAATGTTAATGGTAAATGGTAGTTCGACCTGCATTTGTATAGTGCCTTTCTATTCATCCGACCACTCAAAGTGCTTTTTACAGTACGAGTCACATTCACCCATTCATACACACATTCATACACTGGTGGCCGAGGCTACCGTACAATGTGCCACCTGCCACTCAGTTTTTAACACACTCACACACCGATGGAAGCATCATCGGGAACAATTTGGGGTTCAGTGTCTTGCTCAAGAATACTTCGACATGCACACTGGAGGAGCCGCGGATCAAACCGCTGATCTTCTGATTGGTGGATGACCCACTGTACCCCTGAGCCACAGCATAACTCAAGAACGTCAAGAATCTTAAATTCTGTTTGGATGGTATCATCATTCTAAATCATTATTTCTCTACCTTTCATAACTGGTCTGCTATTTGGAAAGAGATAAAATTTCAGAAAAACTGAACGCTTTATACCTTCAGTCAAAGATTTTAATTGAATACATACAAAAAAATACAATACAAAAAAACACACACAAAAAATCACTATATAAGCAAGTCAACTGACCTCAGAGTCTCCAGTTTACAGTTTGGACTCTCCAGTCCAGCACACAGCTGCTTCACTCCTGAATCATGCAGCCTGTTGTCACTCAGGTCCAGCTCTCTCAGATGGGAGGGGCTGGACTTCAGAGCTGAGGCCACGACTTCACAGTGAGTCTCTGAGATTCCACATGAAGTAAATCTGACATGACACAAATATTACAAAGTATGTTATTGTCAAAGAGGACACTTCATATTTACTTCATGCATTTGATAAAAAAAAAAGTTTGACATATTCTGTTTTAATAGATCGAAAATAATTAAGTATAAAAAAACAACATGGAGAATTAAAGCTAATGAAAATCCAATTTATAACCAGAATTTTAATCAAATTTCAAAGAAATATCTCAAAGCTTTCTTGGATATCACATTCACTAGAATGAGATGAGGTCACAGTGACCGTCACAGTTTTTTAGGACTTCAGAAATCTCCTTTGGAAAATAATGCTGATCATATTTTAAACTTTTAAGGCCCAGACACACCAAACTGACTTCAGAGAATTAATGCCAATGAAGGCCCCCTGCATTATCTGATGTCACCATGTCTTGGCCAAAAAGTTGCACATAAACACACCGCAAAGACTACAGCAGATGGTCAACCAGCACACCAGCAGACAGCAGTCATCTGTAATCGTCATTCAAAAAGGGAAACCAGATGACCATCTTGACGCTAGTTAGCCAGTTAGCATGTTAATAACACAATCCAATGTTTAAAGAACAGAGCATATTTACTGTGCGTCTCTGAACAATAACACAAACCATCAAGAAACATTTCTGCTAAAGAGCTCAATGGATAAAGAAAAATAATCTGACCTTATGGAACAGGTTTGTTTTGGTCTCACTCCCTCTGGACTTTAGCTCTATGTTTACTTTCCTCATTTCCATTTCTCTTCTTGTGCGCTGAGCTGAACTGCCAATCAGAGTGATGTCATTCACCGTCTGGCCCTGCAGTCGCCAATTCAGCACTCTAAATTGGCTGAAAAAAGCTGACTAGTGCTGGTGAGGGCCAACAGTACAGAACACACTGCACCAACTTTGGTGATGGACACTCACTGATGACCCAACACTGACCGACAGCAAACCATCAACTTGGTGTGTCAGAACCCTTAAGGGTATCGTAAAGAAACTCAGGCATTATCTGCATGTCTGATCATATAAAACACCTTGCAGAATCTGTTTATGGAGTAATAACTTTACTGCTTTCACTCAGAACCATCAAATACTGCCATACTGTGATGAAATGCTGCTGTGATAAAACATAAACAACAACCTCTGAAGTTCATTATTTGTTTTATCAGGTTCACATGGTGCTTCCATCATAAAGGTTAAAAACTGTTAACTGTAACAATTATTAGAAATAAATAGATAAAACGTGTTCATTAACTCAACAGCTATAAACACAACCAACTGAAACATCTACACAGCATCACAGCATTGGAAACAGCTCAAGAACATCTGTGACAAAATACATCAGATATGACATTTTAACATTTTATGAGTAAAAAGAATTTCATAGTGTGTCTGTTTGAAAAATTAAACTGCTAATCTACAAGATTTATGATGTTAATCACATCTGGACTTACCGAACCTTTCTGCAGTTCCTCACAGCTGGAATCAGTCTCAGTCGTCCCTCTTGTGTTGTGTTGTATTTCTCCAGGTCCAACTCATCCAGAACCTCCTCTGACATCTGCAGCATGTAGGCCAGAGCTGAGCAGTGGATCTCAGAGAGTTTCTTCTCTGTTCTTTTCTCTGACTTCAGGAACTCTTGGATCTCCTGATGTACTGAGTGGTCGTTTATCTCCAGCAGACAGTGGAAGATGTTGATGCTTCTGTCAGGAGAGATATTATACAGGTTCATCTCCTTCAGGTTGTTTATGGCTCTCTGAATGATTTCTGAACTGTTGTTTGTCCGACCCAAAAGGTCTCCTAAGAGTCTCTGGTTGGACTCCAGAGAGAGGCCATGAAGGAAGCGGACAAACAGATCCAGGTGACCATTTTCACTTTGGAGGGATTTCTCCATGGCTCTCTTTAAGAAGACATCCAGGGATGTGTAATTAATCCGGTCTCTCCCCAGGAAGTCCTCCAGTACCTTTGTGTTCTTGTTGGTAAAACAGTGGAACAGGTAGACTGCAGCCAGAAACTCCTGAATGCTCAGATGAACAAAGCAGTAGACTGTTTTGTGGAAGAGCACACTCTCTTTTTTGAAGATCTCTGTACAAACTCCTGAGTACACAGAGGCCTCTGTGACATCAAGACCACACTCCTCCAGGTCTTCCTGGTAGAACATGATGTTTCCTTTCTTCAGATGTTTAAACGCCAGCCTGCCCAGCTTCAGAAGAACTTCCCTGCTATGTCCCTCATCATACTTCTGCTTCATCCTCTTTGTCTGAACCAGCAGAAAGTGTGAGTACAGGTCAGTCAGGGTCTTGGGCAGCTCTCTTCTCTGCTCTGTAGTCAACATGTCATCCAGAACTGTAGCAGTGATCCAGCAGAAGACTGGGATTAGACACATGATGTGGAGGCTCCTGGATGTCTTGATGTGTGAAATGATTCGGCTGGACCGCTCTTCATCACTGACTCTCCTCCTGAAGTACACCTCCTTCTGGGTGTCAGTGAAGCCTCGTACTTCTGTTACCCTGTCAATGCATGCAGGAGGGATCCGATAGGCTGCTGCAGGTCGGGATGTTATCCAGATGAGAGCCGGGGGAAGCAGATTCCCTTTAATGAGGTTTGTCAACAGCACATTGACTGATGACTTCTTTGTGACATCTGTCACAACCTTCTTGCTTTTGAAATCCAGAGACAGTCTGCTTTCATCCAGGCCTTCAAAGATGAACAGAACTTTACAGACAGCGAGCTCCTCTGCTGTGACCTTCTGTAATGTTGGATGGAAAACACGGAGCAGTGTGAGAAGACTGTACCTCTCATCTTTGATCAAGTTCAGCTCCCTGAACGAAAGCATTATCACCAGACTGATATCTTGGTTTTCCAAACCCTCTGCCCAGTCCAGAGTGAACTTCTGCACTGTGAAGGTTTTTCCAACGCCAGCAACACCATTTGTCAGAACGACTCTGATGTGTTTCTGTTGGTCAGGTAAGGCTTTAAAGATGTCGTGACACTTGATTGGAGTTTCATGGAGGGTCTTCATCTTAGAAGCTCTCTCAAGCTGCTTCACCTCATGTTGGGTATTTACCTCTTCACTCTGTCCCTCTGTGATGTAGAGCTCAGTGTAGATCCTGTTGAGGAGGGTTTCACGTTCTCTTTCATCAGTTCCTTCAGTCACACGTTCACATCTCCTCTTCAGACTGACCTTATGTCCATCCAAAACCTCCTGCAGACCACTGTCTGCTGAAAGAGAAGGAAACATGTGAGACTAAAGAAATAGATTTAAAGTCTGATGATTATTTTTATGACCAACATTAACAAGTAACACAAAAAAAGAAAAAGAAACAAAAATGTTAATGTTGTAATGATGTCTTTATACAAATCTTTAAAGCAGAACACCACCTAAGTTAAGAATTACATCATCTTATTTCCATCATCTTGAAAGGTTCAATCAATACCTGTAAACATGAGCTCCTCTCTCTCAAAGCCAGAAACCGAAGAAATAAGTGTTTCCTTAATACAGGCTTGACCTCATAACAGATCTCCAATTAATGTATGAAAATTGGTTATCATAAAAAAGATTAATAATTATTAATAATAATTGTTAATTATGTTAAATAATGTGACTTAATTTACATTAAATCACCTTGTGGGGCACCATTCCCGAAAAGGGAAAAATGACAGCCAGTTAATGATATCAGTCTCATAGAGTTCACTGAACTTTCAATTTGGAATTTTGAGTAATAATTTTATTAATAACCATAACTAAAGTTACCATATTAATAGTAAAGGCTGAGGGATTTTGGAAGCAGAGGTTGACTATTCATTCACTCGTGTGCAATATTAAACAGGCAGCAGGTCTGATTCCAAAGGTATTTATTCATAAAGAAAGTAAGGTAAACAAAACACACAAATTCTAACTAACTACAAACTATATACAAGCATGGATCTGTATATGTGTGTGTGTGTGTGTGTGTGTGTGTGTGTGTGTGCCAGAGAGCGAGGGAGCTAAAAGGTGTATGTGAAACAAAGGCAGTTTGGCCTACAAAATAAAATGGTTGATAACACAAAACTACAAGATGGCCGAATCAAAGTTTGCTTCAGTCCGGGGGAGGTTTTGCCTGGCAGCATGGTTAGTCAGGACAAAGACAAAGGAACAGAAGTGGGGACTCTGAGTCGCCTATTTGGGTGTAGTTATGTTGAAAGCAGATTTGTGTATGTGTATGAGTATGAGTATGCGGTATGTGTTGCAAAAGGGTCTGGGTTAGTACAGAGGATGGTAATTTGTATGCAAGACTCTGTGTAAAGCATTAGCAAACTAACATCACTTAGCTTTGGTGAAGCCAATTAACCAATGACCTAACAAACAACAACAAAAATCACAACAACAACTCATTGAACAGCATTAAATCACAATTGACAGAATTAAACAGTCTTTCTTAACCTGTACAACTGTAATAATGCTATTCCTAGTTGTTATATTACCAATGCTTCAATGTGTTGAAGACAGAGATGCTGTGGTGTGCTGCTTTTTTTAGTTGCCAATGGAAGGCTGGAAAGAACTGTGATTCCAGGTGTAGTCTTGTTGCGAAGATGCAGATCCGAGGAGACCGGTCTCCCAGTCACTTGCAGAGCTAGTCTGGCGCTAACTTGACTTGCTTCTCCTTGTGCTGGAAAAGTAGTTGCAAACCTTGTGTTTGGTACACTAATTTCTCTGGTCATCAGGTTCTCTGTCTGCTGGGAGCAGGCCATATTCAGAGCAAAATTGCAGCTCTTGCTGTGGGCATACCGAGGTGAGAAAATGGGGGAAGAGGCTCACCTGGCATCGATCAGATGCATATCCACTGTCCCCAGTACAGACATTTATCCAATTTTTATCCATTTAAGTCCATATTATATTGAAGTCCAAGTGATTCCAACAGTTCCTTCCACTTATGCAGAAAAAGATCAGTCCTTCCATCAATACAATGTCCTATTTTTTCTAGAGTCACAACCTCAGAGACCAAAGATTTCCACACAGAAACAGAAGGAGGGCCGTACCCATCCCACCACTTCCTTATGTTGTTTAGGAGAGTCAGGGATATGTAAAAATGGATAAAAATCGATTTGCTGACACCTGTTGACCTGTTGCTGAACTTATATTTGCGCATACTGCTCTCCAGAATAACTGAATTTTGTTGCATTCCCACAGGTGTAACCTAGTGCCTATGTGAGTTTTACATTTGGGATAATTTGGTGAACTTACAGCTTTATACTTACCATAAATATGATATATGTGTGATATATAAACACTATGTAGGATATTGTATTGTAACTCTTTATATCCATTGCAGATTGAGATTCTGGAAGGCAACCGTAGGATCTCATCCCACACATCATTATCTTTAACACATTTGAGCAAGGTGCACCAAGACTCAAGACTTTAAGACTGTCTTTAACCAAGCAAGATTGTCCAAGTTCAATTTTAATATTTCAGAATATGGAAAGAAGGATAGCCCACACACTGACTTGTGTAACCCAGTAGAAACAATTCCTTATTTAATTTAAAAGAATTTAATTTAAGATTTATAAATACTTTTATTTCCCTACTACTTCTGGTTCACCAAACTATGTTTATTTGAAGTTAATTGGTTGATTTATGTGCTTGTCAAGATTATTTAATTGTTATTGGCCAAATCACACAGCAATGCAATGCTATAGGAGGGAGGAAGCAAGCCCCACCCTCTTACAGGTAGCAGTATCCACCTTATTTTCAAACAAGGAAGTGAATAGTGATCAACTTCCGTTTTTTTGTGCATGACTTCCGGTCAGCCGCTTTCCCTCATGCTTTCCCTTACCGGAGCTAACGGTGCAAGCTATTTTTTTTCAGTTTTCAGTTGTTTATGTTAGTCAATCAGTTAGTTAGTTAGTTAGTTAGTCTGTGTATTTTGTATAGATAACTGTGCCCACGTTTCTGCTGTAACAGAAATTTATTCCCCCTAAACGCGAATAAATTGCACGTCAATCATAAACTATGAACCAAAAAAGCACAATCTATCCCGAGTGAGACAAACTGCTTGATCCCCGTCTCCAGTGTACCAGCAGAGAACCTGCAAAACCGAATCAGCGAAAAAGCACACCAGGCTACACAGCCTCTCTACCTGAGCAGCTGACGCTGCGGCTCGCACCCTCGACACACAGACACACAGACGGTGCTTCTACATGCCAGCCACACGTGTGCGCAACTGTGAGAAATAAATATGTGAGATGTACGCTGCTTTTCTATTTTTTTTCCCCTTCTCTTTCTTTCTTTCTGTCAGCGACATACACTCCTAACACAGGACAGTTTGTTTTAATTGACTGAGTTGATCGTTAAGCCATAGTGATGCGCGGATCGGCTCTGATAGCACCTGAATCAGCATGTACGCATCAACCATCCAGCCATTACAACGTGATTGAGCTAGCAAAGCAGTTTTGTGTTGCTATGTGTGGTATTTATTCAGTTTGGGGAAATCACGATGTCTAGAAAGCATCAGTGGCTGCAGCTGACAGGGACAGCTAACGTTAACAGCAGCAGCAAAGCTAGCATCAGGATCGTCATCTGTTAAAAGCCTCCCGTTGTCGGATATGACATGAAACTACTCCAATTAGCTCAATCATGTTGTAACTAAGACATCTGCTGGAGAAAATATTTTTTTCACGGGCCACTTTGTGAGTTTAGTGAGTTATTACAGACACGGCTAACAGCTAATGGTTAGCCCAGCTAATCTACAATAACCATGTTATTAATTACGCACAGAGAAAATACTAATGTTTGTTCATCATTGTGTTTATAGACTTTACAAACATCAGATTAGTCTAAACGGTGATATAGTGATGTGAAAAGTGTGCTTTATGTGAAAAGTGTGCTAAACTCAGCAAGGTAAACAACAAGGCAATTCCCATTTACACAGTGGTAAGAGTGCTGGACCGGAAGTGTCGCACAAAAAAACGGAAGCTGGCTACGTTCTGTTTTGCCTCCGTGTTTCCGTGAAAAATAAGGTGGATAGTTAATTACACACACCGGAGCAGCAAGAGGAGCACATGCGAACGAGTGAGGGATGAGAAGTAAATCCCTGTCAGTTGTTGCACATTAAGTTGGATATACCTGTTTTTAAAAGGTGCATAAGTGATATCGGGAGGTGATTGAGATGATCCGAAGCCTGTTGATGTGGGTTAAATGTACACGAACCGTCATGGTGAGTTACTTTCAGCTAAGCTAATGTAGCTAATGGCGGTAAACCTGTATCACTTCGCCATGCTGTGTACTTGTGTAGCTAATAGTGGTAACTTGTGTAGCTAATGGCGGTAGCTTGTATTGCTTCGCCATGCTGTGTACTTGTGTAGCTAATGGCCGTAGCCTGTATCGCTTCGCCATGCTGTGTACTTGTGTAGCTAGTGGCAGTAGCCTGTATCGCTTCGTCATGCTGCGTGTGTGTGTTTCTGCTTGCTAGCTAATGTGCTACATGCAAAATACGATAGCTACTGCTGTGACATGTAAAAAGCTTTATTTTTCATAAAAGGGCACATATGTCAATGTTAATATGAGGAAAAAGTGTGAACCAAAGCTTTATTGTTTACTTTGCAATTAATTTGGTATTTCTGAGTACAATTAATACCATTGTTATTCTGTAAAACAAGGTTGGTTAAAATAGTGTTTATTAAGAGTGTAACAGAATCAGAGAGGATTTGACATGACCTCAACCTGATATTGACTTGTTACAGATAGGGTGCACCCAGAAGAACAAAAGACACCTATTGGAACTTGAATAAACTCTTGACTCCAAGACAATTGAAACTTAAAGGATCCACTGACAAAACTATGTGACCTGACTGAAAGAAACTGCGCAGAGCCAACAAACTGTTTCAAGGATTGCCACAAGGAAACTGAATTGAACTGAGTTGAAAGCTGAGCTTTATTACCTCTTAATATTTTATTTAATATTCTGTTTTACCACTGACTGAGTTATACTCAGGTTATTGGGTTCATAAGAGGGACTTGATTGTGTTTTCTTTTCATAGAGATGCCGGCAGCTAAGTTGTAAACTGTTTATTTTTTTTTATTTTTTCTACAAGGTATATAAATTCAAGGTGTTCAACGTAAGTCATCCCTGGGTCTGTTTCTCTCCTTTCTGACTACTACACAGCACAGCATTTACCTCCCTGAACCTAGACACTGGTCCACTATTCAGCTTACTAATCAAAGCTTACTTTTGGTCCTCAAC